AGACGAAAGCCAGGGAAGAAAAGTGAGAGTAAAAGGCTTGATTATGGAGCCTGTGAAGCAGCAAACCAAGGAGTTAAACAGAACGGAGGAGAAAGAAGGAAGTAGTGGTTGAAACAATCAGCATGTCAGAGAAGGGGGCCAAGACCCATTACAAACCAAATCCACAAACAAGGGAAAGCATGCAAACAAGTAAAGCTGATTTTGTCATACTAGTGAAAACTGTGATGGATGCTTTGAAACCAGAAAACCTTTTGTTAGTCCAAAGAACAGGTGACAACTTCTCACCCATCCCTCAGCCTAGAGGCTACTTGAGAAATATTTGAAGGGGCTCCAGGCCACCCTGGAAGGGGCAGAGCCTCAGGTGGAAGGAGCAGGGCTTTCTTGCCCACAGACCCTTATTGGTCTGTGCATGGGAGAGCATGTGAAGTCTTTGCCCTCCCCCCAAGAGAACTGCCAGCTATCTGAATGGTTTGACTAGAATGAGAGGAAGTGCCTTCACGGTGGAGGATATTACAGAGCAAGACAACACTCAGGGTCATGCACACTTTGCACAGAGATGTGATTGCTGTTGTATAGGGATTCCTGTGCTAACTTTTATGTAGTAAAAATTGCAGTGAAGATACTGGAAAGGGTGGGGGAGAACTCCAATGTTAGCTAGTAGTGCTAATATGTGCACAGAGTTCCAGGTGGGTTTCCACAGATTGCTCTGAAGCCAGCTCTGCTGCATTTGCACTGCTAATTTTAGGCTTACTAGCAACATTAAAGCTAGCAGGTGTATGTCTACCCAAGCTGCAATCAGATCTCTGATTGAAGAATAGTCAGACCTTCTATGGCATTGTGATGGGAGAGAGAGAGAGAAAGAGAGACAGACTATGTCTAGACTGCACAGTTCTTCCGGAAAAAGATTAACGCAAATTGTGAACCGCAATTTGTGTAGCTTTTTCTGCTTCTGTTTTTGGAAGAGGCTTTTCCAACATTTGGCCTGTCTACACTGGGCCAAATGTCAGAAAAAAACCCTTTTTCAGAACATCCCCTCTTTCTCGTAAAATGAGGTTAAAGGGATGCCAAAACCCCCACGTCTGCTGTTCCGAAAAAATGTCAGAAGAGCAGACACATTCCTTGGACACGGAAGAGTATTTCCAGGATACCAGAGGCATCTTGGAAAAACTTTGCAGTCTAGACGTACCCAGAGAGAAGACTCAGTGGGAGCTTAGTCACTGACTTTTATGGAACAGGATTGTGCCCTTAAATTCAAGATTCTGATTTCTTACCTAACATTTCTTTTTCATAATCAAGATTTCTGTTACTAGCCAAGCTACTTGAGTAGATAGAAGAGTTTTATTTACTCAGGGTTTTCTCTGTTGCACCTAAAGTCAGATATTATATTTTATGGATCTGACAATTTATGCTGTATGATGATCATTTAATATATATATTGCAATGGTGCCTAGAGGCCAACCAGGTGGGGCCTCCTTCATGCTAGGTGCTGTACAAACATATAATAAATACCAGTCACCGCTCAGAAGATTTCATAATCTAAAAGACAAGACAGAAATAGTGGTGAGACAGGCAAGTGAACTGGAGTGGGTGAGAAGATTTTGCTGTTTGTTTTCATCTCATCAAAAAGCGTAATGGATGTGAAGATTGGGTTACTGGACTAAATTACAGGGAGCTAGGGATTATGTGGATCAGCATACTCTAAGGCTACGTCTCCACTGGCCCCTTTTCCGGAAGGGGCATGTTAATTTCACAGGTCGTAATAGGGAAATCCGCGGGGGATTTAAATATCCCCCGCGGCATTTAAATAAAAATGTCCGCCACTTTTTTCCGGCTTTTAGAAAAGCCGGAAAAGAGCGTCTACACTGGCCCCAATCCTCCGGAAAAAAAGCCCTTTTCCGGAGGATTGGGGCCAGTGTAGACGCTCTTTTCCGGCTTTTCTAAAAGCCGGAAAAAAGTGGCGGACATTTTTATTTAAATGCCGCGGGGGATATTTAAATCCCCCGCGGATTTCCCTATTACGACCTGTGAAATTAACATGCCCCTTCCGGAAAAGGGGCCAATTTAGACGAGCCCTAAGGGTTTGTCTACACAGCAATTAGACACTCGTAGCTGGCCTATGCCAGCCTATTCAGGCTTGTGGAATATGGGCTGGGAGCTGTTTCATTGCTCGGGCCGGAGCCTGAGTTCTAGGATCCTGTGAGGTAGGAGGGTTCCAAAGCTCTGACTGCAGCCCTACCTTTGATGTTTACGCTGCAATGAAAGAGCCCCATAGCTGGAGCCCTGTGAGCCTGAGTCAGCCAGCACATGCCAGCCATGAGTGGGTAACTGCTGTGTCGACATACTCTAAAGGGTCCACAGGGCACCTAAAGGGCAAGGACCAAACTGTAAATGACAGTCATAGTACACTTACCCTCACTACCGTGGCTGAAACTAAGGGCTGGCCTACACTAGGAGTTCAGATCGAATGTAGCTGCATAAAGTCAATTTTCTAAATGATGTGTCCATACTACCAAGACCGTCATATTGACCTTAAAGGCCTCTGAAGTTGATGTTAGTTACTCCTGATTTCATGAAGAGTAATGCTATTCCCGACCTTGCCTGGTCAAGTTTTCGGTAGTGTAGATGCAGTGTAAAAGTGCTAATTGAGATGCTCAGTCTTCTGATGCTTTGCCTAAGCCATCAACCCTTTCATTTTATTCTCTGACAACCTGGACTGGACTTACAGGGGAAAGGTTCATTGCTCATTATAACAACCTTAACCGTTTAGAATTATTTTCAGCTATTATTTGGAGGTTTGAGGATGGACACTATAAACTATTTTGCAAGGGGAAGGGGAATGGAAAAGGCTTCCTAAGGACACTACAAATAGCCCTTGAGTTATGGTGGCTGTAACAATACTGGGTCCATTGGTGATGGACTCCATCTTGGAATTCTAGTGTTTTTCTAATGACTGGTGTGGCAACTACGCTTTAAGAAAAAAAGGTTCCTGCCATATGCACAAGCTGTTTAAGGTAAGGAGTGACATCATTGTGATTCTTCACTGACTCACCACCCCAGAAGACTCCTTGAGCTTATTTTGAGTGTATTTCGAAATAGCTTATTTCATAATTTGGCACTATCTACACAGAGCCAAATTTCGAAATAAACTGCTATTCCGAAATGTCCCTTACTCCTCGTGGAATAAGGTTTACAGGGACGTCAGAATAGAGCACCCATTATTTCGAAAGCTATTTTGAAATACTGGGTGCGCTGTTGAGATGTGGAATAGGACCCTGGGTTAGAGAACACAGGGCTTCAGAGAGTACACTGATTAGTAACTGTAGGCTGAAAAATGTTGAAGATGGGCCACAACCTTGGGCTTAGAATCTACACTGCAGAATATAGTACCAACTCTAACCAGTCAGATGTCAAATTTCCTAGTGCCCTCCCAAAATGTATCTGTACCTGAAGCCTGGAATGGAGCATACTCAGTGAGGATAGACTCCTGGGAATTTAGCTACCAGACTTCTACTGAGCTTGCATTGAATGTGTTTTTTTGGAAGCACATAATTTGAGCAGGTTTTGGCAGAGATTCACAGGACTAGCAAAATGCATGCCCCTGACACTATAGTGAACCTCTTCGAAAATTTGAAAGCCTGGCTCCAAAGCATCGAAGTACTACAATCTGTCAGCAAACAGCAGTAAACATGTTCTAGCATGTTAAACTACATATTTCCCCCTAACTTTTTTTCTGAGATATGGCTGAAACATTTCTGCTGAAATTTTCCAAAAAATATTTCCAAAGACATAAATACCTGGCCTCAATGTTCCCTGTAAACTGAGCACTTGTCTGGCTACTCAGGGGAGATTCAAATGCCACCCAGGTGGCTACAGAGTGCCCCAAACTAGGTTTTTGTTTCTGTTGGTGATACACATTCACACATGCCTTGATGCACATAAAATGTATTCCAATCCATGGATGGAAAGATTAGAAGGAACATTTCCTGGCATGGAAGATTTCAGCCTGAGTAGTAGACATTTTGCAAAGTTATAAGCAACTGAATACTCTATCATATAATTGGAAGTGAGAGGCAATCTTATTTATAGGTTCCACTACTATCGCAGACTTTAATTACAAGACTGCGAAATGGCAGAATTTTCTGTCTCTCTCTTGGTGAGGATTAATCCTGGTTCATTTCATTTGAGTACATTTTTCACCACTGTTGACTCAGGTAGAACAGGATAGTATCCAGCTGAGTGTTAGATGTTTACTTACAAACAATGGAGCTTCCTTGTTTGTGGTTGAGAGATAACTCCTCAGTCTTATCTAACTAATCATTTAGAAATTATTTCTAACATTCAGACTAAATGAGCCCTTTCTTAATTTCATCCTAGTATACCTATAAGGAGCTCTTGGACATTCTTTCACTCCATGCCATGTCTAAACTACACCCCACTGTCAGCAGAGGGATGTAAATTAAACATATCGAAAATGCAAATGAAGCGGTGATTTAAATATCCTGTGCTTCATTTGCATAATAGTGGGAGCTTTTCGAAAAAACCCTGGGGTTTTTTGAAAACAAATAAACAAACAAACAAACAAAACAAAAAACAAAACAACCCCCCCCGACAGTTTAGATGGGTCATTTTTGACAGAAATTCCCCATTTTGAAAGATCCCGTACTCCTCATTGTTTGAGGAGTACAGGATCTTTCAAAATGGGGCATTTCTGTTGAAAATGCCCCATCTAAACTGCCATTTTTTTTCGAAAAGCCCCGTTTTGAAAAAAAAAAAGTGGTGGCCACATTTATGCAAACGAAGTGCGGGATATTTAAATCCCTGCTTCATTTGCACTTTCGATACGTCTAATTTACATCCCTCTGCCGACAGAGGGATGTAGTTTAGACATAGCCCATCTGTCACAGGGTCTGTATAATACAGGAAATAGCAGACTGCTGCAAAACACAAGACTTTTCATCTCAAAACATAACTGTATGAGTGCAAACTATGATCAGACTTACAGGCAGTTCCCTAGGGAATTTTTCATCTGGTCAGTGCTGCTGTTTCCACACTGTAATCAGTTTTGTTGTCTGTGAAGAAGAGCAAAGAAAAAAACAAGAACCCATAAACAAATCATATCTCAAAATGATAAAATCTCAAGATATTTCTAAGTTCACACAAGCACAGATATCAGGAGCATAGTGTTGAAATGTGCTAGCTAGTTCCAAAGCATTTATGGGCCAGACTTCCAAAAGTGTTTATTCGGAACCCACAATGGGGCAAGGTTTCCTCTAAGCTGCACAGCAGCAGAACCCTACAGCCTCAGGACCTCGGAGCTGGGGGAGGGGCACTTCTGCCTTAGGGACAGCAGCGGTTCCCTGCTGAGTACAGAGCAGCAGCAGGGCCCTGCTACCACACAGCTTAGAGGAACCCTTGCAATTGGGGCCAGATTTTTACAAGAGCTCCCCCCTTTTGCACCTACCCTTTTTCCAAATTATTTCTCTCCCTGCCCCCCATGCTACTATTTGGGGATTTTCACTGCAATAGTTGGTAGTGTTGGAAGTGGTTAGCCAAGGGCTGTATGTGTGCAGGAGAGGAGTTGAAGAGAGTGATGGAAGGCTGGCATCCCAAGGAGGGCAGCAGTATGGTTGTGGTATGTGGTCTGTGGTGCACAGTAGTTGTGGAAAGGGTAAAATATGTGTTTCTCAGTCAAGAATGTGACATTTTGTGACTATATTAATTCGGTGAGAGATTATTAACTCTTTGTATCGTTACCAAACTTCAAACTACATTTTAAAGGTACTGTTGCCTGATTTGATGGGAAATTCATAATGTTGTTTAGATAATACGGGTTCCTCTTTGAGGCCTTGCTCATGTCCATTCAACATAGGTGTCTGTGTCTGCCACATGCTTTGGTGCCGGAATTTTTTCTCCAAGCAGTACCCATAGGGGTTGGGGTCTTCAGCATCCTCTGGAGCAGTGCATGTATGCCACTCTATATAGGACACTCCCTGGTCCCTTCCTCTTCAGTTACTTCTTACCTTCAGTGATGGTGCTTAGAGGTAGCTAGCATTCCCTATTATTTTGTAAATAGTTCTATCATTAGTTTAAATACCTGAGGCGTCAAGGACTACAAGTAGTAGTCCTACAGGTAAGTATACTTACCTAGACGATTGGCTTGTCAAAGGCCCCTCGAGGCTCAAGGTCCAACGCAACATAAGTCTTCTCCTGGACACATGCCACTGGCTTGGTCTATTGATAAACAAGAAAAAGTCTCTCTTCGTGCCAACACAAAGGCTAGAGTTCATTGGGGCAGTCCTGGACTTTACCACAGCCAGAGAGTTGCTCCCTCAAGAGAGGTTCAAGGCCCTGCTGACCCTCGTGTGGCACTCCCATGACCATTGCAAAGGTGTGTCTGCAGATCCTGGAGCACGTGGCCGCTTGAATGTATGTCATGCCCCTGGCCAGGCTCAGAACGAGGCCCCTTCAAACTGTGTCAGTGTACACACCAGCCAATCACACCCTAGAAAGGGTGATGATGGTCCCACCCGTTGTGCTAAGGGCCCTAGAATGGTGGATAAAGACAGAGCATGTCAGGCTTCCCATACCATCCTCAACTGCACTTGGGGGAGCTAGTAGCCAACACTTCAAATTGTGGTTAGGTGGCCCACATGGGGACCCTTCGTACTCAAGGGGTGTGGTCTGTACAGCAAAGATCACTCCACATAAATACAAAAGAGCTTAAGGTGATCAGAAATGTATTTAGGGTGTTTCTCCCTCACCTCATGGGTAGAGTGGTGCATGTTCTCATTGATGCCACCACCATCAAGTACTCCATAAACAGACAAGGGGGAACCCATTCCCTAGAGCTATGAACAGAAGCTATGAGGCTCTGGCAGTTCTGTGTCCTTCACAGCATCATGCTAGAGGCACTTCACCTCCCAGGGGTGCAGAACATGATTACAGATCATCTCAGTAGAGAGTTCTTTCACCACAGTGGACTCTTCACCCCAAGGTGACTGCCTCATTCTTCCATGATTGGGGTTCCTCACAATGAAAAAGAATGCAAAGTGCAGCAGATTTTGCTCCCAGTTCAGTCTGAAGCAGGGCTCCCTTCCGAATGCATTCCTGTTCCAGGGTTCGGAAAGTCTTCTCTACACCTTCCCTCCATTTCCTCTCATTGACAAAGTCTTGCAGAAGGTCAAGGCATTGGTGATTCTCATTGTGCTGGTCCGGCCTCACCAGCACTAGTTTGGGGCACTCATGAACCTGATATCCTGTGTGCCCAAGCAGCTGCCCCTAGGAAGAGACTTGTTGTCCCAGGACTACGGACATCTACTGCACCTGAACCTCAGCTCACTACATCTGATGGCATGGTTCATCCGTGGTTGAACCCTCAGGAGCAGGAGTGTTCAGATGAAGTTCAAAGGGTTCTCCTTGAGAGTCGAAAACCCTCAACGCGATCTACTTATGTCACCAAGTGGACTCGATTCTTGGTGTGGATGCAGCAGCAACAAGTTGTTCTGTCCAAGGCCTCCCTTCAGGAAATCTGGACTACTTGTACCACCTGAAGCAGCACGGCTTGCTCTGGTCACCATGAGAGTCCACCTTGTGGCCATTTCCACATTTCATCTGCCCCTCCAAGGACACTCTGTCTTCTTTCATGATGTCACATCCTGGTTCCTGAAGGGTATGGAGCAGCTCTACCCCCAGACTTGAGATCTTCTCCTGCAGTAGAATTTAAACTTAGTTTTGGCACAGCTCATGGGATTGCCATTTGACCCCTTGGCCATGTGTCTTGTGTTGCTGCTTTCTTTCAATGTGGCCTTCCTGATTGCAATCACATCAGCTAGAAGGGTGTTGGAGCTTCGAGCACTGATATTGGAACATCTGTATAAACAATTCTTCAAGGATAAGGTGGCCTCATCCAGTCTTCCTTCCTAAGGTAGTCTGCCTTCCATCTGCACCAGGACATCTTTTTGCCAATCTTTTATCTCAAACCTCATGCGATCAATGAGGAGAGGTGCCTCCATGCATTAGATGTTTGTAGAGCACTGGCCTTCTTCCTAGAAAGGACAAGGCCCTTCCGCAAGTCCACACATCTCTTTGTGGCCTACGTGGAGTGAGGTAAGAGGGTTTCTTGATCTCCTCCCAGAGACTCTTGAAGTGGATCACTTCCTGCATCCACAGTTGCTACGGGTTGGTAGCGATCCAGTTGCTGGTACTGATCCAGGCCCATTCCACCAGAGCTCAGGCTTTATCTATTAATAGGCCTGATCCTAAGTACCCTCCTTCCTGGTCCAAACTTAACTTAGGGTACACTTACTCTATGGGCTAGCATGCTCGTGCATATTATGACATATTCACAAGTATTAGCGATGATGGTTCTTCCTCATCTCTATTGTTTCTGTGCTAAGCAGTTACTTGGTTACTTCCAAGTTTGTGGTGTGACTGTTAAGTCTGAAAAAGGCCACAAACTTGGGTGGCCTTTCCTACTCACTCACTTTAACTTGTCCATTTCTATATGTGAAAAGTCACACATTCATATACTGTGTTTTAGCTCATCACTTCCTATCTAGGTTAAAGGTTTTGATAATATTTATGGTAACTTGCCTTAGCATACAAGAAGTTGTGTGTTCCTTGCATTACAGTTGAAATATGCTAATGTAAATTGATAAACCTATTATAATACCAAATAACAAACCTATAATGTAACAAATAATCAGACTCATAAAAAAGTTATATATGCAAAGCAGCTAGCTAGCTCATTGGACTGCAGTGCAGCCTTTTGCCTTCTCTGTTGTCTTTTTGCCTTTATATTTTACAGAAATTACAAAGGCTAGTGGCAAAAGAATAACAGCAGAGGTTAATCGGCTTAATGTACTTCTCTCTGAAATGTCATAACTAGACAATAGGATAGTGTCTTCCCAGGAGAACTGGTTTATCTGGGATGATGTCAGTGAATGTATGTGAGATTGTCGGCTACTTTCAGCAGCTCAAACTGACTGGTGCTGAAATAGCCATATGAATCAGGGAAAATGCTGCTTGCCTGTCTTTCCTGAGCCGAGATGGTGTCCCAAAGACTCCTCAGGAAGGTAAATTAATAAGGGGCATTGCAAAATGATCGGTTCTTCCTTGTGCTTTATTTGTTAAGTAAATAAAGCAATAATGTGTTAAATGCTGGGCAAATGTCTGTGTTATATTCCTCCTAAATGTCGTGTTGCCAGAGAGAGGAAACAGACTCACATCATGGAGTGGTGTTGTGGGACCAGATATTTTTAAGTGGGAGGAGTCTGAATGGACAGTAATGAGCACAGGGGCTAGGCAGCTGGACAGCGGGTTCCAGCTCTTAGAAAGAAGTGTTAGACACTGCGCCTGCACTCTGAGGATGTGCCTAGGGACCCCAAGATTGGGATACTGGCTGGGCTTCATTCAGGCTCCAGATGCTTAATACACCCTGCAGACCTACAGACTGAGTCACAGCTGTCTACTAGGTAGCAAGGAGGGGATTTCTTATCAGATCTGTGATAGGCCTGCAGGGTGTGTACTGTTAGGTGGCTTGAGGTTTCACTTGCCTGATTTTTGAGGGTTTGTGCATATATATATGGTGACCAGATGTCCTGTTTTTAAAAGGACAGTCCTGTAGTTAAGCCCTCCTGCAGGTGTCCCTCCTTTTTCCTAAAAATGAGCAAATTGTCCCGTATTTTTTCTCTCTCTCCTGTAATTTTTGTGTCTCTTCTTATACTGGTGGGTCCTACTGGTGGCTGGATCCTTGTTTGCTAGCTGTCCCATCCACCAGCGGAGAGTGGGGGAGGACGTTCTGTGGTTGACGAGAGAGGTGGGTGTGCAAGGTTGGTGGTCAGGGAAAGCTGCAGTGCGAGAGGCCAACTACTCTCCCTGCTGGTCCATCAGTGCAGCCCCTGCTGCGTGCCTGCTCTTGGCCAGCATGTTCCCCCCACCACCTGTCCTGTTTCTAGCCAGAACTGGTCCCCTTGCAGAACAGGCTGGTGGTCGCTGGTTATGTGTGGCCTCTGCTGCACACCCATCAGCTCTTTACGTGCTCTCACTGTCCTCTCCTTGCTGTGCCCCTTCACCTCCACAGCCCTGCTGCTCCTACGTATTCCCCCTGACAGCCTCTGGTCTGATCATTCAGGTCACCAACAGCCGGGCTGACAGGCTCCTTCTTCCCCTCACTGCCTCTGGCTGGGCTGGCAACCATGGAGAGCTCAAGGCCCTCTAGCCCAGGGCACAGGCCAGGAGGAGCCAAGTCCTGCATGTGCCAAAGCCCTGCACAGCACTGCCAGGCAGAAGCTTCTCTGCCCCTCAGGTAAGCTTAGCAGTGGCGGGCAGGAAGTTATTTCCAGTTGATTTGTGCCCTGATCCAGCAGGCTCCGCAGCAGCCCTCCATGCAGGGCCTTAGCACCCTCTTCACCCTTCCAGCCCCCAGCCTGGGTCCTGCCCCCTCAGCAGCGTGGGGTTGCTCTGCCCCCTAGGCACTCTCCCCTACTGATCCACCTCTCTGGTCTGGTTCACTGAAGCCTCTGCTGTCAGGTTCCCTGGGCCTTTAGGGCATAATACAACCCGAGGGATTAATGCCTTCTTGCACACTCTGTAGCCAGGAGACAGGAGGTGGTCATGTCAGTGGTTGTCAGCAGCTTGGAGGTGTTAGCTGCCTTTCTATGGGCAGGAAGGGATAAGCTGCTTCTAGCCACAGGGGAGTTGAAGGGTAGGAGGAAAGAGATGATCTCTGCAAAGACACAGGCCAAGTTATCCCAACCCTCCATTCCCACCCCGTGACTGGAAGCAGCTCCTGTCCCTTCCATCATGCACCAAACTGAAAGGCTGCTGCTGGCCATGTTCTGGTGTAAACCCTCAGGCTATGTCTACACTACAGGGTTTTTGCGCATAAACTGTCAGAACATCCACACTACAAGCATGTTTTTGTGCAGAAAAGATAACAGTAAATCAACAGGACAGAGGGCTTTTGCCAGTAGAGTTATTCCTCTCCCCACGAGGAATAACTCCTTTTTGTGCTACAGCTCTTGCACAAAAAGGCAAGTGTGGATGATCCTCAGGGGTTTCTTGTGCAAAAAGAGCCTATCAGAAAAAGCCATTTTGTGAAGCAGAGCTTCCTTGCACAAGAGCTTTTGAGGTGGGTGGACTGGCTCGGCAGGATACTGGGAATTTCCCGGTGGGCTGCCGTGTCCGCACACTGTTGTCCCTCACCCCGAGTGACTCCGCGTCCACGCTGT